ATATGTCGACAAAAAGATGGTATAGCAATGGTCTTACCACCTGGCTTGTTGCTTGCAGATTCTTTCATGTCAGAACTAGGAAACGCATGTCTAAAGAAAATGATTGACAACTTCGGGTTTTACAAGAGGATACATCAACGATACTTTAATTCTCTCCAATAAAGAGGACAGTTTGGAGGACATTGTGAACTTTTTCAACAGTTGCCATCCTGCGATTCAGTTCACATTAGACAAGGGGTCTTGAGCAAAAATATCTTTTCTGGACTTTCAATTAACGAGATGCGAATAAGATAGAATAATAAAAAGATCCATCTACAAAAAGCCAACATAGAACGAACAACTCACTAATTTTATTAGTTGGATGCCTCTATATACAAAATGAAACCTGATCCATTCACTGAGCTATAGAAGACGAGCTGAACACTCCGAAAAGAATCCTCTTAGAAAATGGCTATACAGAACATTTCATCACAAAATCTATGAGACGTAAACCATTAAAGCTGTCCACACTCTCTACTCCCAAAAAGCGTCTCTACTTAAATCTACAATTCAATGAAGACTCATAGGCAGAAATCTTGAGAAACCACCTGTCGCTCCACTGAAGAAAACCTTCTTTGCGGCTCAATTTCGGTTAATAGAGGCACAACTGATATGACTTAAGCGTCCTAAACATTCAGTAAGTGAATCCCGGATTTCAACCGTGTTCCGCCAGCTCCAGTTTGCACAACTAGATAGTAGTATCATCAGCCCTTATAAGACATGCACGAAAAATGTCCATTCCAAGTATCCCCGTTCTTAGCAATTGTCTATTTCAAATTCACACCGCTTATTTGTAACTCTTATATGACAGTCTAACACGAAAAAGATGCAAACAGTGAAGAAGACCTTGACGTCGACGAATAATTTTCATAAACTGAATAATGTGTATTTATTTAGTTCACTTGTTCTTGTAGAGCAAAGTATGTCGGTTGTACGCAACATACAGTTTACAAATGTATTCTGGAACACTCTCCAGCTAGAAGAGAAAAGAAGAATACCAGCAGCTCCGTCCTTGAACACCTTGTCAACTCTGGAAATCGAGAAATCCTGTATGACGGCTTCACAGAGTTCCTTAATACCGCATGATAACACTCCGAATATGTACATAGCTGAATCGTCAGCTATTAGGGAAATGAAACCGGACCGCGGCATTCAAAAGCACCACATTCAATCACTCGCTCTACCATGGCCACAGTAACGTTCTTATTACAATTTTGCTCATTTTTATTATGTAAGTTTATTACTACCTACCTGGGAAGCATCGTTCCAACTACAGGCAGACGGAACTGATGAGGATATCAAAGAAAGGATCGGGAAAGCAAGACAAGCTTTCATTACTCTCCAATAAGTCTCTGTGGAGATCAACAGAGCACTACTCAGCATGAAAAACAAAATCCGGGTTTTCAACTCAAATGTCAAATCAGTGCTATTATACGGATCAGAGACTTGGCCAGCGTGTCATAAAGAGCATCTCACACAGCTCATTAACAACTGTCTTCGCTCAATACTCAAGATCAAATGGCTCATCCAGAAAAGATCACCAACAGGGATCTCTGGCAATGAGCGAACCAACCAGGAACCTATTGTCCAACATATATGCAAAAAGAAATGGAGATAGATTGGCCATACGCTGAGGAAACCATCAAGTGACATCACCAGACAAGCCATTGCTTGAATGGAACCCGAAAGGGAAGCGGTGAGTTGGTCGTCAGTGAAAGGGTGACTTGGAGGAGATCATGTGAAGAGGAGATGAAAGTATGTGGGCAGACTTGGAGCCAAGTGAAATCTCTAGCAGAGAACCGAACGCAATGGAGACGTGGGCGGTTGAAGCCCTATGTTCCGCTAGGAATTAACGGAAAAAATTATTATTATTATTATTATTGTTCTCATCATCCCTATTTTTTTATTATCACTATAGTAATATTTACTAATAACATTGTATTTCCATAGAGAATTTATAAAAACAGTTTATTATCGTATTTCCAGAAGTTCCTGTCCATTCTACACAATTATATAGTGACTAGTCATTTTTTCACACACTTATTGCGTCATCCGAGCTTTAGCCCCTTTTCTTACTCCCACTGAGTCATCCCAATCTACATTACACCTTGCATTCTGCAAGGCTAAATTTTACCAGTATCTCATTGGTCTTATGATTTCTTTGTTAAATACAATACTTACGATTGTACAGCTTATGTGAAAATATGAATCGTCGAAAAGATTAATTTTCTTCGCCGTTTATGTTTTTTGTCTTCTTATGACTCGATATGAGAATATTCTATTCGTTGAAGTACTCTAAGATGAATCAACCAGCCAGTGTAGCTGTAACAACAGAAGACAAGGACCAGGCAACAGATCGTTTTATTACGAAAATCAACACGTATTTATATAAATTTTTGACATATATTATTACAGCCTAGTCAAGTAGACAAACGCAGTCTTCTGATTGGTTGTTTTCGAATTCCTCGGAAAGTGGAGCCATCTATCTGCAAATCATATTTGCCCACGTTTAAGTTTGCTGTGATTGGTTGCTGAAACAGCCATGTTCATATTTTCTCACGGCCCACATTAGTGACCTTGACACTGACGTAGATTAATGTCAACCAATTGGCTAGCAGGCTGCTCTCACCACATAGCGGTATTTCATTTTACTTCATTCATGTAACTGAATTTCAAATGTGACCATCTAGAGTTAAACCAGTCATAGGGAGTAGTACACAGATGGAGAACTTTGGCTAAACAGCAGTTAGTCGACGACTGTTCACCAGCAGAAACAGCATTTAAAGTTCTGGTATACAACAATCATGTGCAGACTAGGTGGCGTTTTGAAGACACAAAGCACACAGGCTCTAGACCAGCAAAAGTGTGCATTGTTCATATCTTCACCCTTCGACAGATTCTGTTACTATGGCAATGTTTGGCCGTGAAGTAAGTACTGATAAAGTATATCACACCAACTGGGGTACCCCACTCAAATTCATGCAGCCATGTAACAGCTTGTCGTCTGTAGTGCTGACAACCAGTGGTGTGTCGGTCACGGATGCCCACTGTCCCCGTTTTTGTTTAATTTCATCACAGATGAACCAGAGGGATTGGTCCAAACTGATTGCAGCGACTCAGGGATTAACTTCTTACCAGAGGAAAGTTTTGTAGCCTCACCGTGCATACAGACCGCTCGAATGGCATCCAACAACTTACATCATCTCTCACGTAGACGTGATATCCGACTGGCTCTTGATCAAAAGACGTATGTTACTGTGCTGCAGCAGTTCGTTGCATCCTCCTTCATGGCTGTTAGATATGGTCATTTGAAGTGGAAGACATGAAGAGAGGCTAGTTGCCTTTAGTCATGGGTGTCTGCCTCCTATCGCTTATGTTAAGCAGTGAAGAAAATTCAAGCTAGGCATAGGTGTGTCGGTGGCACAGCAGTTAGGACGGTGGCCGGCAAAGTTAAACTTTCGACACCACTAGCAACCAATCAGCAAACGACCTTGAATGGATCAATCACATTAAAGAGGCATATGTGATGAATGGAAACGCATATTTATAGAAAAAAGCAGAAAAAAGGATAAAACGGTTACAAGGAGTATCTTTCTCGAATATGTGAGAGAAACATCTCCCAGTTTAGCATGTGACTGTCAATGGCGAAGTCACAGCACATCCTGTACTTATATTCATCTGAACGGCTGTAAATGAGATCCTTTTCAGATCCATTTATAGCCCTTATCTGGTTTCTCAAGCGGCCCCGAAAACCTTCAATGGAATTCGTATGAGTCCTCGTAACGGGATCCACACAGCAAACAAGTGATTGTCTCTATTTTACACGAAGCAATATCTCTGCAATGCTGGTACCACTAAACTGTTGAGACAAGACTATTCTCAGTCTCGGCAGCTGCTGCTCTCATCGGCTGTTTCAACACCCAGTAATTGCAGATATACAAAATCTGGGTTAGGGAGAGATGTGACCTAGCGGAAAAATTTCCCACGAATTATTAAAATTATCAGCTTACCCTCTCTAATATTAGCATGCTTCAAACATATAGCACAACGATGAACAAACCCACCCAGCTGATCTGCTATAGCTTTTTAAAGTCATGATAACAACACAAGAACAAGTTCGCTCCTTCCGGAGCAATTTAAATCCAGGCAATACTGGAAAACACTAACCTCCTCAAATTGCAGCCGTAACCTTGTAAGGTCACGCATTAGAAATGAATCAAGCGCTCTACAACATTGAACTACGTTCGTGAATCTCATTGGATAATTCGCTGATTGGCAGTTAGTGGTGTCGAAAGCTTAACTTCGCCCGGTAGCCGACAATGCACATGGTCCGGGGTTTCATCCTCGGCCAACCCACTCCTTTACCTCACTAAGCCAGTAATAATGCTGGTAAAGAGGAAAGGTAGGGCATGAGGCTAGCAACCCCTCCTGTAAAAATAAACACCACTGCTAACGAAACTTCAAGCGACTAGCTTGAAGCCCATTGGGGAACGTGAAGGAAAAAAAATAGACTGATGAGGTTGCAAAGCTACATCGATTGAGTTGGCTAGGACACGTGTTGTGCTCTTCCCACGCCACTTGTCTTCCTCAACAAGAAATGTGTCAGCTGACATTGGATTTAGTTGGAATGCAGTTAGAAGTGATCATACCGAAACCTATCATCAATCCCTGAATGCCTTTTGCACAGTTGCTTTAAGCCAGTCACGTAGAAAGATGTAAATTGCTTAGATGAGTTCATTGGAAGGGGGTTGGGGGGATTCTAAGAACCAATGACTGGAGACTATTAGTGATGATATGACTCAAACCCGTTCATCAATGGCCCAAGTTCATTCACTCTGCATAACCTCCTCTATATCAATTAAACCCTTAATGTCTCTCCATGTTACTATTATTTCTCCCGCCCTCCCTCAACCCGGCGAGCAACAGCTATATACATAAAATACACTTTAAAGACAAGCATATACGAAACCAAGTGATGAATATATATATTTCTTCCTTTTTCCACAGAAAGGTTCAAAAGGCTTTGGACAAGAGAACAGTAATAGTAATAATAATAATCATAACAGTGATCACAATGAAGACAGATCCAATCAGCTTTCTGAAGTACAAGCAGAGAGATATACATACAAACCCATAGACACACACACACACAAATCCACATACGCACAGACGCGCGCGCTCACCCTCAAAATAAGAGAAGACACAGATTACATATGTTTAATAACAATAGTAATATAGAGAAACCTAGAAATAAGTACTTTTCAACCTTTCTTCCACAAAAGGTAAGAACTGAACCGGTTACGTCATATGTATATATATATATATATGCATATTGTGTAGGCGGTAAATATTATTATTTAACCGTGTGCTTCACCCTTCTTACCAGAAACCTGAAAAGAAAAAATTGAACAAGAAATTGAATTAGAAATATTTATTTGTCGATATGAATTTATAGTTAGAAAGCAGGATTTAATGAATTCATCAACAAAATTTCGGCAGAACTCTTCGTCAGTTGAATACTTTACATACAAGGATTTTAAATTATCTATCTGTCTATCTCTTTTCCACATAGAACAATTTTGCACCAATGTGCGGGAGTTCAAGTCGCCACACTCCCTCCATATAGCACAAAAAGTAAGAGAAGAAAGTAGAAGAAATGCATAATAGAGACAGTAAACAGAGGTGTGAGACAAAGGAAGAGTAATAACGAAGAACAAAACAGTTTCATCGGAAATGATAAGTCACAAGGAGTGGATGGATCTGCGCCATCATCGAGAACGATGAGTTTGAGCCATATCACCAATTGTTTCCAGCCATCATTGGTTTTTACCGTCCCAGGACCCCAAACAGTCAGGAAGTCTACACCTTCCTACGTGACTGGGTGGCTTAGACTAACTATTGTGGATTTCATTGACTGGTGACATGTTTTCGTTTGACCGCCGCTAGTTCTTTCCCAGCCTGACCAGTCCTACGTCAGCTAACATTGCCGTTGTCGAAGAAGGCGATGACTAGGCATACGTAACACATGTCCTAACCATCTCAGTCGATGTCATTTCACAGCCTCGTCGATTGATTTCCCCTTCTTACCCGGCACTCGACAGATGCCTAACCTGCCTATTGCTCACCTTATTATGCCATATCACACGGGAGATAGAACGCAGGCACCTATGATCGAAGACAGCTAGCCAGACTTTTCATGTCTTCCACTCTCAATGGCCAGGTCTCACAGTCAGCCATAAAGGAGGACGGTTCGGACTGCTGAACAGTGCACCCGCCCTTTTGTCGGTAGGCAGCCGGATATCACGTGTACGTCAGAGACGGCGTAGACTGGCACATGCGAAACTAGCCCTCTGTATCCGTGCTGAGATTTCGTCAGAGATCAACCCGTTGTCACTGGTTGATTTAGCTTCCCAATTAAGTGAAGTGGTCAAGACGCCCCACCAACAACTTCACTCCCTATTTCTAAACGAGGAGTCGATGTAGTCCAGTCCTGTAACATCATCTTACATTTGGCGGGAGCGAAACGCATTTCAAACATTCGTAGATTGCAGCTCAAGGTGTTCAGAAGACTCTGCACTTTGTCAGCGTCTTCAACTAGAAGGACTATATTACTATCTGCATATTCTAAGTCAACGAGATTATTCCCTGCTGACAACAAGTCAATCCCTGAATCTCTGAAGTGAGTTAGGGTCAAGTACATTAGTACATCTATGATGAAGTTGAATAGAATAATGGGCATCCTTGACAGACACCACTAGTCGTCATCAGTTCAGATGACAACTCGTCGTAAGCCCTCACCTTGCTGCATGAGTACGAGTAGAGTGCCTTAACCAGTGCAATGTATTTTCTCGGCATTCCCTTAACAGCCAAGCATCGCCAGAGAAAATGACGCCTTCAAATTTGTAGATATTTTTCTAAAGTAAAAGACTGATGATGGCACAATGAAAAGAAAATCTATATTTAGAAAGTCTTCATGGACGACGAGACGCTGTAAGGAATTTTAGTCAGAACACTGTTCAATTATTATTATTGCTCCCTTGGGTTCCTAGTGGAACATAGGGCTTCAACTGCACATCTCCATTTTCTTCTGTCTTCTGCTGTACTTTTCGCCTGCATCCATGTTAGTCCATATTCTTTCAACTCCTCTTCACACGATCTCCTCCATGTCACCCTTGCACTGACGTCCCACACACCGCTTCCCTTTCGGGTTCCACTCGAGGGCTTGACGCGCGATGTCACCCAGCGGTCTCCTCAGCGAGTGTCCAATCCATCTCCACTTTCTCCTGCATATTCGTTGGGCGATTGGTTCTTATTTTGTTTGTTCCCATAATTCCTTGTTAGTGATTCTTTCCGGCCATCTGATCTTCAGTATAGAGCCAGCGAAGACAGTTAGTTGTTGATAAAGGTCTGTAACAGGCTGTTGGAAATATTCTTTGTGACCCACCCACCAAGTTTCTGATCCGTATAGAAGAACTGACTTTACGTTTGTATTGAAAATCCGAACTTTATTGGTGATGCTGAGTGACGAAGATTTTCAGATTGATTTCAGGTTGATGAATGTGTTTCTCGCCTTCCCGATTCTCGATTTGACATCCTCATCCGCTCCTCCTGTAGTTGAGACAATGCTCCCTAGATAAGTGAATGAAGTAACCTCTTTCAAATCCCTCCCGTTGATGGTGATTGGCGTTGGATGTTGTTGCTGTTGTTGGTTGGTTATTTTCATAACCTCCGTCTTGTCTATGTTTACCTGGAGTCCTGTCTTCGCCGACTACTTCTTCGACCAGTTTGTCGGTTTTTGCTTGTAAGTCTTCGATTGTGTGTGACATCAAACATAAATCATCTACGCGCTAAATCCAGGTCTTCTAGGTTCTTCACGTCGGTCGTCCAGGATATTCCTGTCTTCTCGTTTCCCACAGTCTGACGCATAATCCAGTCAGTCCACCACAATTAGGAATATCATTGATGATAGTAAGCACCCTTGTTTGACTCGCGTGTTTACTCCAAACGCCTTGCTGAGTTTTCCGTTGTGGATCACTTGACATGTGCCGTTGTCGTACAGCTGTTGAATAAGGTTGATGAATATTTGGGGTACGCCATAGTACTCGAGTAATTTCCAAATTACTTCACGATCAACGCTGTCTAGTGAAGGCCTTTCCAAAGTCTATAAAGTTGAGGTAGAGGTTTGATTGCCTTTCCATGCTTTGTTCGATGATGATGCGTAGAGTTGCAAATTGGTCAGTACATGATTTACCTTTACTGAATCCAGCTTGTTCTGGTCGGAGTTCTGTCTCCAGTGCGTCTTTCATTCTCTCCAGGATGATACGACTCAGGATTTTACTTGGCGTCGATAGGAGCATGATTCCTCGCCAGTTCTTGCAGAGTCCTAAGTCGCCCTTCTTTGGTAGTTTCACGAGGTAACCTTTACTCCAGTCAGTAGGCACCTTTCCCTCCTTCCAGACCTTTTGCAATAATGGAGTCAGCATGTCTGCTGTAGTCTCTGGGTGTGCTTTCAGTGCTTCAGGGGGTATTCCATCTGGTCCGGCTGCTTTTCCAGCTTTCAGAAGCTTGATTGTGTTCAAGACTTCAGCTCTCGTTGGAGGACTGGTGTCAACTTGCAGTTGTGTGCGCGCTGTTGTTGGTATTTCTGGAAGGGTTGCAGATGATGGTCGGTTCAAGAGTCCTTTGAAGTGATCCGCCCATTGTTTAATCTGTTTTTCTTCCTTGGTAATTGGGTTCCCTTGGCTGTCTTTTATAGGCTTCGCTTGTATTCTGATAGTACACCTGAACATGAAATGCAGGCACTGAAGGATATTTTATTTAAGAATCGATATCCTCAGAAGTTCATCAATAAATACTCTAAAAAATGTGCCTCAGTGAAACTATCCAAGCAGTTCCAAAGAAATCTGTACATATCAATCTGTTATTCAAAGGAAATGATGCGTACAAGAAGTAGTCAAACGAAAGCTCGATAAATCTATCACAAGGACTTATTATGCTGAAAAACTCGCGTTCCCTAACACTAACACCAAGCGAACACGCTTCAACAATCTGCAAAAGATCAGTCGCCAATCCTCATCACTTCAAACTGCGTCTGTCAATTTGATGAGTGTTTTTATGGAAGCAAATATATAGGTCGTGCAGAAAGGCGATTGTCTGCTTGCATGATGAAGCGCGTTTGCCAAAGTGGTTGGAACATAGCTGGAATCAAAGCACTTACAGGTTTAATAACAAAGCATCTCTGTGGAATACGGACATAATATTGACGCTCTGTCAATTCATTCACTGTTATTGTCAACAGACAAATAAACAGGAAGATGCTTGACAACGTAGGGGCTGGCGTAATTAGAGTTTGTAAACCAGGTCTCTGGGTCTGTCTATCTGTCTGTCTGGATTCAACATAGAACTGGGCACCGAAGTGCACCAGTTCGAGTTGCCACGTTCCAAATACCACACAAAGGTAGACAAGAAGATGAGTGAAGAGAATCAATACAGTCTGACAAGTAGAAGAGTGAAATAGAATGGGTAATGGGAGAAAGGAATATGAAAGATTACAGAGACTGAATACATCTGCGCTGGCCATTAATAACGATTTTCAGCCATGTCATCTATTGTCTCCAGACATTCATTTCTAGAGTCAGTCCCGAGGGCCCCAACCCGGAAGTCTGCATCTCCCTACCTGACCGACTCAGTTTAACTGTCAAGGATTTATTTCACGGATTGATGAGGCCATGTTTTTGTTTGGCCACCACTGACTCTTTTCCAACCTGCACCTGTCTATATCAGCTAGCAATGCCCGTCGGGGGAGGCGGTGGTTAGGCATGACCTAGCCATTTCAATCTATGTAACTTTATAGCCTCGTCGATTGATTTTCCCTGTTTGCTCAACACTCTGTGCCTGACGTCAACATTACTTACACCTTATTAAACCACCTAACGTGAGACAGAGATCGCAGACATCTATGATCAAAAACAGTCAACCTTTTCATGTCTTCAACTCGTATTGGCCATGTTTCAGAGACATAGAGAAGGACGGAGCGAACTGCTGAGCAGTGCACATGTCCCTTGGTTGATAGCCGGATGTCACGCCTACGCCAGAGATGGTGTAAGTCAGCGAAAGCAGCTCAAGCTTTTTGGATCCGTACTGAGATTTCATCGCCAATCTGGGTCTCTGGGTACAAAAGAAAGTATTCAGCTGTGGAAGAGTTCTACTGAAATTTGACGTCGACTTCATTAAATCCTACTTTATTAAAAAACATTTGTTGCTTGTATTAAGAAATTGAGTCCCAGAAAGTCACATTAGAGAAAATATTAGACAATGCACAAAAATTTAAAACTCATACTATTCTCCTACTGGGTTTCTCTGGTCTCTGTGAAAGGATGGCGCACTGTTGGCTGACGAGTCCCAACCAGGAAGAAATGCGCATACTGGACTCCACTGCTAGTCACCCCCACCAATTATATTGTTGATTTTTTTTTCTAAAAATCCGACTTTATCACAGATGAATTTAAGGACGGTGGAGACAGTTTACCGTCTGCGTTAACTAAGGTACTAGACTGCGTCGGGGAATCAGAGATAGTCCCGTCGGACCGGTGTAAGTCATTGATTACCCCGATATACAAGGTGGGAGACAAGTCTTCCTGTGATGATAATAATAATAATCACAGGGGATTAGCTTGACCATTAAGGTATGTAAGTTCTAAGCTCAATAATAATACGTAGATTAAGCGGTGCAGAGGAGGAACAAACACGAGAGAACCAGGCAGGCTTTAGACCAGGAAGAGGGTGTATTGATCATATCTTCACCCTTCAACAGATTCTAGAACATAGGCATTCTTACCGGCTTCTAACAATCCTTATATTTCTTCACTTAAAAGTGGCATTCGATTCCGTAAACAGATAAGTATTATAGCAATGCTTGGCTGTGAAGGAGGGAATGATGACAAAATACACCACACTGATCAACGCACTCTACTCGAACTCACTCTGCGAAGTGACAGTCTACGGAAAGTTGTCATATGAAGTGGTGATGATAATCAGTGATATCTATCACGGGGTATCCACTGTCCCCATTTCTATTAAATTTCATCATAGATGTACTAATGGAGTTAACCCGAACTCACTTCAGAGACTCAGGGATTGACTTTTTGATACCAGGGAATAATCATGTTGACTTAGATAGTGATTATAGTCCTTCTAGGTGAAGACGATGAAAAAATGCAGAGTCTTTTGAACACCATCAGCTGCAATCATCTTCGAATGTTTGGCATGTGATTCTCTCCTGTCGATCAAATGCAAAATGATGCTACAGGAATGGACTACATCGACTCCTAGTATAAACACATATGGCGTGAAGTGCTAGAGCGTGTTGTGACCACTTCGCTTATTGAGTAAGTTGAATCAGTCAACGTCAAACATTCAGTCGCCGACGGAATCTCATCATGGATACAACCTGCATCATATCTTGGGGGCAGACATGATATCCGGCTGGCTATCGATTAAACGATGCGGGTACTGGCTCAGCAGTTCACTCCGTCCTCCTTTACGGCTGTGAGACATGGCAATTGAAAGTGGAAGACATGAAAAGGATACCTAACTTTCTTTGCTCATAGGTGTCTGTGTTCTATCTCCTGTGTGAAGTGGTATAATAAGGTGAGAAATATTGAGTTGCTAAGGCATTGACCGAGTCCTACCTAGATAAAGGAGGGAAAATGAATCGACAAAGCTGTGAAGTTAAATCGACTGAGATGGTTAGGACACACAGACAAATTTATCTGAGATAAGATAGATTACGTTAGAAAAGGACTAGTAGTAGTCAAACCGAAACATCGCATCAGCCAACGACATCCATAACAGTTGGTTTAAGCCAGCCACTTAGGGACCCATAGACCTGCCAATGTGGTTGAGGCCCACAGGATGGTAAGAACCAATGAAGGCTGGAGACAATTGGTCATATGACTGGCTCAAAATCGTTCTCAATGGATGGTTCAAATACATTCACTCTTTGTGATTCACTGGACTAAACTTAAGCCTAGTATAGAAATAGAGGCTGAAGTGGTAGAGCACGTTGACCACTTCACTTACTGGGGAAGTACACCATCAGCCTCAACAGTTTGATCTTTGACGAAATTTCAGCATGGATACAGAAGGCTAGTTTCGCATATGCCATTTTACGCCGTCTCTGACGTAGACATGATATCTGGCTGGCTATCGACCAAAGGACGTGTATACTGCTCAGCGGTCCGATCTGTCCACCTTTATGGCTGTGAGACCTGGTCATTGAGAGTGGAAGACATGAAAAGACTAGCTGTCTTCGATCATAGGTGTCTGAGTTCTATCTCCCGTGTTAGGTGGTATAATAAGGTGAGCAATATGCAGGTTAGGCATCTGTCGAGTGCCGGGTAAGGAGGCGAAATCAATCGACGAGGCTGTGAAGCAGTTACATCGACTGAGATGGTTAGGACATGTGTTTTGTGTGCACGCCTAGTCATCGCCTTCCTCGACAACAGGCAATGTTAGCTGACATAGGATGGGTCAGGCTGGAAAGGAGCTAGCCAGCGGCGGTCAAACCAAAACATGTCACCAGTCAATGAAATCCACAACAGTTAGTTTAAGCCACCCAGTCAAGTAGGAAGGTGTAGACTTCCTAACTGGTTGGGGTCCTGGGGACGGTAAAAACCAATGATGGCTGGAAACAATTGGTGATATGGCTCAAACTCATCGTTCTCGATGATGGCGCAGATCCATCCACTCTTTGTGACTTGTGATTTACAATGAAACTATATTGTTCTTTGTTACTACTCTTCCTTTGTCTCACACCTCTGTTTACTGTCTCTATTATGCATTTCTTCTACTTTCTTCTCTTACTTTTTGTGCTATATGGAGGGAGTGTGGCGACTTGAACTCCCGCACATTGGTGCAAAGTTGTTCTAAGTCGAAAACACACAGACAGAGAGACAGAGAGAGAGAGTGGCTAGTCGAACTGACGCACTTCTATGTAAAGTTCTTTGCTGAAACCAGTCAGCCATTTATAAAATTAACAGCTTCCTCCTGCTTCAGATATTTCTCTACTACACAAAAAAAAACTTACCCTTTTAAATTCATTCATATTTATAGTATTCACTGGATAACCATAGAATCTCAGCTTATCAATTCGTGTTTGCTCTGTTGATGATTGATTGTTTTTCACAAAAAGCTGGAATAATAAAAATTATTGTTAAGAAAAAAAGAAAAAGAAAAGAAGAGGACAATCACGACTAAGTAGTCGTGATAAATACAACACACAGACAGGCGTTGAATAAACAAAGTAAAGAATGCCAACCATAGAGTGCGACCGCACACACCAATGGACCTTAGACGCATATATCATAATTCCGTTGGATAATCACAGAAAACCTGTCATCATCACAGAGGTAGTATGAACACACTGTTCACGAATTGATGTGTAAATTTCATTCTGATCTCCTTTTTAAGTAACGTTTGAACAATCAATCGCTTGATATGATAGCAACGTTAGGTTTCGGGTCAAGTATAAGGGGTTACGGTAAGGATTAGGGTTAAGGTAAGGATTAGAGTGCTTTACTATTCTCAGCTGGCAACGAGAAGACTGGCATAAAATAGACCCACACAAAAACGCTTAGAGGATCTGGACTTCGCCGATGTGATATATATTATATATATATATATATATATATATATATATATATATATGTCTGATTTCCTACAAACTGGAAGATATGCAAGTGAAAAGCAACAAGTTCGCAGAAGAAACATCTAAAGAAGATACGACTTCCGGTGAACATAGAGAAAGGGCCAGCAGTAACAGTAACAGCAACAATAGGTGAAACACAAGTGTGAGTAGTCATCATAAATACAATAGACACGTGTTGAATAAACAAAGTAAAGAATGGCGAACATGGAATGTGAAAGCGCGCGCACACACACACACACACTAATGGACCTTAGACGCATATCATAATTCCGTTGAAGAATCACAGAAAACCTGTCGTCATTACACAGATAGTATGAACTAAGGAATCCCCTTGTGTAGCCTCAAAGAATTACTTCTTAAATGCATTAATGAATGTTCACTTTGTCTTCAATAATTCATACTATCAACAAGTACATGGAATAGCTATGAATGGTTCACCATTAGGCCCAATATTAGCTGACTTCTTTCTCGAAAAACTTGAAAACCGGAAATTGAAGGACATCATCAAGGAGTTAGAATGTTAAGATAGACGAATTGTTGCTGAAATTCAACTTGTGAAGAGGAGCAGGAGAATAAACTACATTTTCTGGATGTCTTGACAAGTAGGAGAGAAGATGGGTCACTTGGAATAAGCGTGTATAGAAAAAGCACACCCACAGGGCAATACACACACACACACAATTCCTTATTTATGTGCCCATTAAATTTAAAAGAAATGTTGTTAAAGGTCTTACGAGCAGAGCAAGAAAGATTTGTACTGATGACCACTTACAAAAGGAATTTGAATATATATTCACGATTCCTTGACGGAGATGAGCTATCCGAATAATTTCATAAAAAAACATATGTAAACATCAGACAGAAAACCTGAGACTATGACTGCACGTAAAAAGAACCTCTACTTATGAAATTACACTTTAATGGTGACTTATCAAGTCAGATCTTATTCCAGAGACTTTCCAGGAGTATACGTAGAACATTTTACGCAGCACACTTATGTTTGTCATTCTCTAGCCGACGAATGATTGGGACGCAAACGAAGGATAAGCTTGATAGTTTTCCCACATCTGTGTGTATTTATCAATTCAACTGCACCTGTGGTGACAGTTATGTTGGGCATACTACTACTACTACTACTACTACTACTACTACTACTAGACAGCTTAGCCAACGTGTTAGTGAACATCTCCCGTCGTGGTGGCTTGACAAAGGACAGACAAAAATAATGCGTAGCTCAATTTTATCACATTTAATTCGTTGATAGTGGTCATGTAGTGGAGAAGACGACAGCTTTCAAAATAATTCATCGGCATCCCACCGAATCTTTCCAAAAGACTTCGTATTCGTCTACTGCACATGGCTGAGGTAGGCGAAAGGCATTCGAACGATTAAACCTAAACTATGCATTCCAAAGAAGTTTGTACACACAGCTACTATCCTTCCCTTGTTGGCTTATTAAGACATAACCAACTAATGACTTCTACACCACCCTTTATTTATATTTTCAACCCCTTTCTTATTATCACCCCTTAATCTTATCACATCTTCATTAAAAAGGTGTTTTATTTACTTGCCTTACAATCTAGCATTACGCAATCGGTTCATTTGTTTTTACTAACCTTTATGGATTACTACGTCCAGCTTAACAATTGTTGGTTTAATTATGCTGTTTTTCATTATTCGTGTTATCACAGATTGTCTCACTTTTTCATCCTTATTAGTGATAAGACCATTATTATTATTATTATTATTACTATGGTCCGGGGTTCGACCCCCGGCCGGCGCACTCCTTTATTTTTCCCGACGGAAAGCTGCTACCTTGACGTGGTGGTCGGGCTTGAACACCGCAATGAGCCAACAAGCTATATCGGCTGAGACTCATGTCTCTTGAGGTCCTACCATGCCAGAAAGGTTGTGTGGTTAGCGGTTAAACAAAAAGCAGCTACCCAATCCAACACTAAGACACACACAAACTCACAAAATATCATGCCGGATCGGTCGGGGCCCGGATTAACAACGACCGCGCTTCCTGCTGCCGTGTCACAGGGCAGGAGCGATAAGTATGCTACTGAGGCACACCAAACAAAAGAGAACAAACAAAAACAGGCCGCGTGTGACCGGCCTCAAGCAGTTGTCCCCTGGGCTCTGCGGTCACTATTATGACTAATTGCACAATTTATATTCACCATCTTATTATCCTATAGACAAAACACCGTGATTGGTTTATATTTGAATGCTTATTTGTAAGCTTATGTATATTAGAGCTGATGTGTAAATTTCATCCTGAATCCTTTTTTAAGTATCGTTTGAACAACCAATCAGGTTTAGGGTTAAGGTAAAGATTAGAGTGCTTTACTATTCTCAGTATTTCCCCTGGAAATAAATCAATAAATTTCTAGAGAAAATCAAAAGCATCCGAATAGATGACCAAGAAATAATGATATCCTCCGATGTTACAGCACATTATATACCTTAATTGGATAGAAATTAGCAAAAGACACCATGGACCAATTACTCAACAACGACAAACACCTCATACAACAATCAAAAAATACAACCTATAGCTAATAACGTACTTCAAATTCAACGACCAAATATATGAACAAGTCGAAAGAACACTCATGAGATCATTAATATCAGGTTTGATTGCAGAAGTTGTGAGGCAAAGGCTTGAAAATATAATCCTACCAAAGATCAAACCAAAAATTTGGATACTTCACGTAGATGAAACATTCGTAATAATCAAAAGAAACGAGTTGGACAATATACTCACAATTTAATAAACAGCATTTTCAACGACATCAAATTCACAAGAGAGGAGGAGGAATATCCTAGGACAAAATCCCATTTTTGGACGTCTTAGTCAAGCGAACAACTACCACAGAGGAATTAGAAACTCAAGTTTATAGCAAAATCAACTCACACAGACCAAATACTGAATTACAACAGCAACAATCCAATAACACACAAAAAAGGAATTGCATACAAACACTATTCAAGAGAGTAAGGACTCATTGCAGCACTCCCACCTTAAGGAAAATTGAAGGAAGGTATCTCATGGACGTCTTCCAAAAGGATGGACGGATATCCACGGAATTTCATAAAAAGACATCTATCCCTAAGCCGCCAACCTATCAAATCAAAAGCCCCCAAGGAAAGCACAAAGCAATCTCCTTATTATATATTAAGGACATCTCAGAAATCACTGCAAGACTCTTCACACCTTTAGGAATTGATGACGCACACATAACAACAAAACCACTTCACTCAATTCTATGTCAACCAAAAGACTCAACGGCTTAAGAAGATAAAACCAACATCATCTACAAAATAAATTGTAACAACTGCGAAAAACACTACATTGGCCAAAGTGGACGCCACCCTCTTTGTCTTCGTATCCACGAACATAAGCTAGCCGTCAAAAGACATGATATCCACTCCATCACTCATATCACTAGCTGCATACAGACAACCACGAACATCAATTCGACTAGGAAAACCAAGGTTCAAATATTAGACAGAGGGAACAACAAGAATGCTAGGGAATTTTTAGAAGCCCACCTGGTATTCCAGTGAATCATCAATCAACAGACACATCGAGATAGATAAAATTTATCAACCGATGAGAAAGAAACCTCACACACACAGAGGGTCAAAGTTCAAGTCAAAGAAACAATCAATTCTAATACAAGTAACCTACAGGGTGTGAAAGCACACAAAAACCCCCAATCACTTCTACAGTCACCAGGAGAGATGATTAATAAACCCGTGGGGAAATCTAAAAGCTCACTTCAAATTGAAGTATGAGCTGAAGATGTCGCCTATTAGGACGATGAAAGCTTCGCAAATTAACCATCCAGCTCGGAGAACACAACTCCACATCAAAATAAATAAGTGGGTGGGGGAGGGGAACTTTCGTTATTCACATAGATAGATGGAATAATCATTTCGAAAGCTATGCAGCTTAAAAACTGATACCCTTCTTTGATTGGACACTATTTAGTCAGTAGTATCACGCATCTAGTCCTTTGTTTACTGAAGACTGAATTCTATCAGTCAAGTTTGCAATGTGACTACCACCATGCACCACCTAGGTAGCTTTCACCATCACAGTGCACTGTGAATTTTTGGCATTATATAGTTGGAGGCAATCAGCAGGAAGCCTTCCAATTATGTTTCGTGCTTATCGGCATTCATCAATCAGAGCAAGGTGTATATTTGAAATCTTGAATGAACCCATGTTCCTCCTGAGATTCGAACGTCTCTGATTGCAGTACTTCATGATATGGGCTCGTGCGTCGGTGGTATAGCGGTTAGGACGCTCGCCGACCATGCATTTGGTCCGGGGTTCGACCTCCGGCCGGCGCACTCCTTTACCTCACTGAGCCAGAAATAATGGTGGTAAAGAGGAAAGGTTGGGCATGAGGCTAGCAACCCGATCATGTAAAAATTAAACACTGCTACAGAAACTTCAAGCCACTAGCTTGGAGCCCTATGTTCCACTGGGAACGTGAAGGAAAAATTATTATTTATTATTTATGATATGGGCTTGAATCTCAGAAGGGAGGTCAGATCCTTCTGAGATTGTAGATACGCCTTACTGATTTAATGAGTGTCAAAAAGCACAAAAACTAGGTGGAAGGCTGCCTGTCCATTGTCTCAAACCATCTAATAACAAATGATACCCTTCAATGTGACTGAGAACTATTTCTCGGTTACGCGTCACAGTAAAATATCGTCTTTAATCTGTTTCAAAATTATTATTATTATTACTATTATTATGTTATTTTTTCCCGTAAATAAACGGTTTGGTTGATGTCAAAAATACACAGTAGGTTCCTTGATCATCCACTGAATGATATGCGTTCAAGTTCATTGGTGCGTTCATTACCTTGTGGTTGCTATGCTTTACCGTGTACGACCTTAAATAAAGGAGTGGAGGTTACAACGATTTAGTGTGAATATTTTTTCCTCATAAATTCTTCGTCAGCTCCTACAGTTATGTGTCCATAATAATAAAAGGAACCCTTGTGGTTGCATACTTGTGAAGAGTCTCTGAGTCACTGAGGGGATGAAACATCTGTCGAGTACTCCCATATTTTCCAATAGTTCTCTAATCGATATCACCTCATGATGAAATCCTGTAACCAATCAATCAAATACCTACAAACCAATACTTGAATATCAATGGGATGTTCACTGGCGACTGGCCCTATTTAAGTGGGTAATTACCTGGGTTCTAGGTGGAAGTCGTGACCAGTAGGGTACAGCAGGTCGGGTATCAGGACAAATACTCACCAGCAATGACACTCGCTAGTGCTAGTCGCGTTATATCGTAAATTGGTTGAAGTTGGAACCCATGCTCTGGCCATTGGATCGGGTCCCAGTGACTTAATAGTCTACCAGCTCGCTAGCCTTGTAGACCAGAGGATCGTATATTCGAACTCCTATGGGTGCGTCCCACAATGGATAACGCCTCGGCATTGCGGATGAGTTCCACTGGAGAGAATACATGTACACTGAGCTGATGAGTCCATGTCTTACACTCTACTGTAAGCTACTATCAATCAATAAAATAAAGCCATATTGATTGACAATTCAACCAATGAAAACAACTCACTGTTATAGTGTTGACATTTTGGAATTTTACAAAATTCAATTGAGTTACTCCACCATCTTTAATATCAGCCTCTGTTAACCTTAAAGGATTACAAAAACACAAAAATCGGTTAAAAACAAGTGTAGTTCCATAATTAATCAATAAATAATCATTAAAACAATTAGTCCCTTTGATAAATTTGAATAAGGCATTTAGAAGACAAATCTCGCGATATGATATCGTCATTTCGTAGTTTCTTTACAACCGCTTTACAACTGACATGGTTAACAATAATAGAATAAAATAAAGTGCATGACAATTACTCAGCTAAATAAAAAAGTACATACTAATGACCAATCATAGTTGAATAGGTCAAGTAGTCCATGGTGGGCGAAGGTTGAAGTCGACGGTTGTTTTTTTGTACACACAGTTTAGGCTGTATGTGATTAATCCCCAAAGTTCTTTTATCACCTTCAATAACCAACTTTGAACTAGAGTTATATGGTGAAATAATTGTGACCAGACATTAATAAGTGCTTTGCAATGGGTGATAATGATGAATTTCTATTCAGATTAATCGCATTGAGAACATGCTCTTTTTGACGACATCGGAACATTCTGTTGGTTCTACCTATACAGGTGTCACCACAGCTGCAGGTGAACGTGTAGGTACAGTTTGAAGTAGAGTCGGCAGAATTTCGTCCTTTAATCGTAGGTACAGGTATTAAAAATGTTCGGCAAGTGAGAAAAAGAGATGTGGCGGCGTAGAATGTGCATTTGATGGCTGACCGAAGTCTTTGAGGTGTTAACTGCATAATCTCGTCGCTCTTGAATGATCATCGTCGAAAAGAACATGTTCCAAAATGGCTACTAAATCATATAGAAAATCCCAACGCGATTAATCTGAATAGAAATCCATCATCATCATCATCATCATCCATTGCGAAACACTTATTAATATCAGGTCACAAAATCAATATCAATGACAGCTTGACAATAATTTCATCGCATAACTCCAATTCAAGGCTAGTTAATGAATGTGATGGAAGCACTTTGTGACATTATTCACATACAGCCTAAACTGTGTGTACAAAAGACAATAGACTTCAATCTTCGCCTACCATGAAGTGACTACATGACCTATTTAAATATGCGACTGGTTATTAGTATGTACTTTTGTGTTTTTTATTTAACTGAGTAATTGTCATGATCTTTATTTTATTTTATCATTGTTAACCATGTTAGTTGAAAAGCGGTTGTAAAAAAACTACGAAATTATGATATCATCTCGCGAAATTTGTCTTCTTAATGCCTCATTCAAATAAATAATCAGTTGATTTCATATATATGTACGATAATGGCAACGACAACTTCGTTGTCCAACATAAGCCAACGGTGGTCTAAGCTAAATCGATTTATGTTAAATCCCTATTAAATGTCAGACAGTTAAACTCACCTTCACGCATAAACATGATCTACACAAACTTGTTCATTCACAAGAAATTAAATCAGGCATTAAATACCTTGGAATAGTTCTATCCCATATCTTGTCGATTTCTAAGAAATGTGCCGTCTAAGCTACTACTACTAAGTAGGAAAGTAAGACAATCAGGAATCAGTCAACCACTACATTTACAACTTTTTAACTCATTCAACTCAAGTATTTTACTTAACCGCTCCCTTCTTAGTTTGTCCTGGATTACTCAAAAAGGACTATTTCATATTTTCAAGGGTAGTATTATTATTGTCTCCTTTAATTCCTAGAGGAACATACGACATCAGCCGCACATCTCCGTTGAGTTCGGTTCTCTGCAAACGTTTTCATCTGGCTCCACATCTGCTCATATGCTTTCATCTCCTTTTCACATGATCTCCTCCATGTCACACTCGCGACGTGTTCAGCGAAGTCAGATATTGATGAAGGTCTGTAGTTTGTTTGAAGTGTTCATCATGACGCAGCGCCAAGTCCCTGATCCGCCTAGTGAGTAGCATTGACTTCAAATTGGAGTTGAAAATCCAGATCGTAGGTTTCATGCTGAGCGTTGTTGATTTCCCCACAGACTTACCTGAGAGTAATGAAAGCTTGCTTTGCTTTCCCGATCCTTGCTTTGATATTATGCTCATTGGTTCCGTCCACCTGTAGTTGAAACGATGCTTTCCAGGTAGGTAAAGAAGGTTGCTTCTTACAGATTTCTCCCATTTATGCTAATGGTTGTTTGTTGTTGTTGCTGTTGGCCAGGAATCTTCATCACTTACCTCTCTCTCTTCTATATGTTCATATGAAGTCCTAACTTGTATCGCCAACTTGTTGCTTTTCATTTGCATATCTTCCAGTGTTTGTGGGAAATCAGACATATATCATATCGGCGAAGTTCAGATCCTCTAAGTTTTTCGTGTGGGTTTATTTTATGCCTGTTTCCTCGCTGCCCTCTGTGTGTGTCTGTCGCATCTCATCCAGTCTAACGTAATCAGATTGACATCAGTACGGTGAGCAGCATGAGATTAAGTCAACCTGCTCACTAATACTGTAGTCCATACACACCTGAACTCTTGTGAGAAATGGTCTGGCTAAATCTATATTTTCTATGATTGGATTGTAAGAATTAGATTTGTTTTGACGAGTTGATCACGGATTGATGTCAGTTAGAGGACCATTGAAAACCAGGGAGTACTGGACAGCTGCTGTTTCATCAGCCTAGTTTGGGAATCATCATCAGTACGTTGTGCTAAATCACGAACTGTTATAAGTTAGATTTCATGGGCCATTGAATCGCGTCCCAGTGGCTGCTGAATGGTATACGAGCTTGTTGTCCTTGTACCCGGAAGGTCCTGGGTTCGAATCCTAGTGAATGGAGTACTGTCGATGATTTACAAACCAGTTGGATGAAACAGCCGTCCAGTACTCGCTAACTAGTTTTCGATGGTTCTCTAACTGATATCAATCCGTAATCAACTCGTAAAAATAAATCCATATTGTTTAACTGTCGACAACACCCTCTCTAATTGACAACTCTCCCCCTTCCTGTTGAATCTCATCAGGTATGACTAGAGGTCATTATAAAAGATTATAGGCTCGCTTGCGCACAACTAAGTACACATAAACTCAATGATACCTTATTTGGCCAGCCCACGTTATATCTGGTAGTGTCAGGCGTGAAACTTATAAATTACTATATAATTAGCAAAATAAATGGCTCTCTGGTCTATTTGAATTATTTTATGCTTTAGTACTTTTTCGAATTTATTGTCATTGCTAATACCAAAAAAGCTGCTTTTATCAATTTTGGCTACCTATATAACGTGTAATGTTTCGTTTGTTTTACCCCGAATGCTGAGAATTCCACATAGTTGCCGTTTTGGAATAAAGCAAATAATGACTGTTTCATGTTCTCTACTATCACATGAGTATATTCATCTTTCTCATGTACTCATTAAGGTAAACTTTGGATGAAACAAAGACACTAATCATCGTTGACAAATTTTCAGGAATACTGCTAATATATCAAGCTTACATACACCTCAGATACATATATCTCATTAGTATTGATGTAGTTGTGCTCTGTGAACTAGATGAGAGCGTGACAGAGAGGGGGAACTTGGTAGTCACGTAGTCGTCCGCTGTTCGACTCCATACCACTCAGCATTCCACTATGTCCACCTTCATGGCTGTGGGAGGAGAAGACATGAAAAGATTAGTTGTCTTTTATCATAGGTACCTGCGTTCTATCTCCCGTGTGATGTGGTATAATAAGCTGAGCAATATTGAGGTTAAGCGTCGAGTGCTGCATACGTAAGAGGGGAAATCAATCGACGAGGCTGTGAAATTACATCGACTGAGATAGTTAGGACATGTGTTACGTATGCTTAGTCATCGCATTCCTCGACAAACAGGTAATGTTAGCTGATATAGGGTCAGGCTGGAAAACTGCTAGCTAGCGGCGGTCAAACCAAAACATGTCACCAGTCAATGAAATCCACAACATTTAACTTAAGCCACATAGGAAGGTGTAAACTTCCTAACTGGTTGGGGTCCTGGGGACGGTAAAAACCAATGATGGCTGGAAACAATTGGTAATATGGCTCAAACTCATCGTTCTCGATGATGGCGCAGATCCATCCACTCCTTGTGACTTGTGATTTCCAATGAAACTATATTGTTCTTCGTTATTACTCTTCCTTAGTCTCACACCTCTGTTTACTATCTTTATCATCCATTTCTTCTACTTTCTTCTCTTGCTTTGTGTGATACATAGAGTATGGCGATTTAAATTACTGCACATCAGTGCAAAGTTCTATGTCGAAAACAGACAGACAGACATACCGCCACACTCCTCAACCACCTCATTTAGCGAAAAGTAAGTTCGTTAAAGAGGGGAGGTTGACCGTAACGCCAGTAAGCCTACATCACAGCTAATGAACCCTCAAAGCTCATGTTTGGAAGCCTATATCACCCACTCCGGAATGAAAAGAGTGCAAAAAAGTGGTCCATATGTGATACAGTTTCCAACTACTCATATCAATCGATGAGCAGTAATGTTTGGACCATCATAAAAACTCGACCATTTTTTAAGGAAATTAAATAAAGTTGTATTGAGCAAGAGAATTTTGAAAAAAAACAGCAATAAAATAGACCTACTCTAATGTTTGTACAGCTTCACCAGCTTCACAACTATCAAAATCTGGTGTTGATGTTTGATTGATAAAAAGTTTTACTAATTTTGGAGCATTTTCTAAAATAAATTTCGCAAGAAAAAAAAAAGAAAAATTGACATCAATCCGTGGTGGTCAAACTTAAAACAAGTTAATTATCTACAAATTAACCTGGTTACAGGACGAAGTCAGTTGCCAGGAGGAGTTCTAGTGCGAAGTTGTTACCAAATTAGTGGGCTCCATCTGGGAGCATTGTCTCAACTACAGGCAGTCGGAACGGACGAGGATGTCAAATCGAGCGAGAATCGGGAAGGCGAGAAGCACATTCATCAACCTGAAACCAATCTGGAAATCTTCGTCACTCAACTCAGCATCAACAACAAAATTCGGTCGGATTTTCAATACAAACAACGTCAAGTCAGTCAGATCTTCTATACGGATCAGAAACTTGGCGGGCGGGTCACAAAGAATATTTTCAACAGCCTGTTACAGACCTTTATCAACAACTAACTGTCTTCGCTGGCTCTATACTGAAGATCAGATGGCCGGGCCGGACAGAATCATCAACAAGAAACTATGGGAACAAACAAAGCAAGAACCAATCGCCAACCAACAACTATGCAGGAGAAAGTGGAGATGGATCGGACACTCGTTGAGGAGGCCACTGCTGGGTGACATCGCGCGCCAAGCCCTCGAGTGGAACCCGAAAGGGAAGCGGCGTGTGGGACGTCCAAGGGTGACATGGAGGAGATCGTGTGAAGAGGAGTTGAAACAGTATGGACTAACTAACATGGATGCAGATGAAGAGTACAGTAGAAGGCAGACAGAAGCAAGTGGAGGCGTGCAGCTGCAGCCGTATGTTCCACTAGGAACCCAAGGGAGCCATAATAATAATAATAATTGAGCAGTGTTCTGACTAAAATTCCTTACAGCGTCTCGTCGTCCATGAAGACTTTCTAAATATAGATTTTCTTTTCATTGTGCCATCATCAGTCTTTTACTTTAGAAAAATATCTGCAAATTTGAAGGCGTCATTTTCTCTGGCGATGCTTGGCTGTTAAGGGAATGCCGAGAAAATACATTGCACTGGTTAAGGCACTCTACTCGTACTCATGCAGCAAGGTGAGGGCTTACGACGAGTTGTCATCTGAACTGATGACGACTAGTGGTGTCTGTCAAGGATGCCCATTATTCTATTCAACTTCATCATAGATGTACTAATGTACTTGACCCTAACTCACTTCAGAGATTCAGGGATTGACTTGTTGTCAGCAGGGAATAATCTCGTTGACTTAGAATATGCAGATAGTGATATAGTCCTTCTAGTTGAAGACGCTGACAAAGTGCAGAGTCTTCTGAACACCTTGAGCTGCAATCTACGAATGTTTGAAATGCGTCTCGATCCCGCCAAATGTAAGATGATGTTACAAGGCTGGACTACACCGACTCCTAGTTTAGAAATAGGAAGTGAAGTTGCGTTTATAAAAAGGCAACGCATCCTGCTAACAGATATTCAGACTTTAATGCATCTCATCCGTTAACTGTTAAGGCAGACTTAGTTAAATGTCTAAAACACCGTGCAATAACAACACTAAGTAGTACAAAACAGACTTAAATGATGAAATAAAACAGATAGAAGAGGCATTGGTGTTAAATAACTAACTATCCTATAAAATTCATTAGGAATATCAGTAAAGACCAAAAGCGAAATAAAAATAATTGTGAAACTAGTAGTGATAACATAAATAAGGGAGAATATAAGGTATCTACTGTTATACCATACAGGGAGGGGACATCTGAGACCCTAAGTAGGATTCTTAATAAAGCAAGAATTAGGGTGGCATTTAAACCTGCAAACTCACTCAGGTAGGACAAGCTCTGTAGGCTAAAGCATCCTGTAGGTTGACCCAATTAGACAAAATAATATAATTTACAAAATACCTTGCAATGACTGTGACTGAAATAAAATACATAGGTCAAACTAGTAGATTGGGTGTAATCAGATTGTCGGAACATAAGAATCTGGCTAAAGTAAGAATGGTTGACCCGAGAAGATAAGTAATTTAGAAAAAAAGCTCAGCAATAGCACTGCATGCATGCATTAACACACCACCATACACAATAGGGTGGGGTGGGACAGAGTCAAAATTCTAAAAAGTAATACGCGTAAATGGAGAGAGAGAGAAGTTGATTACTACTGAATCTTTGTTCATCGAATTTACACCCAAAACATGCAGTAGGAGTGAATCATCACCAATATCACAGAAATATGGAAAATAATACTACCAATGACTAAATCGAGGGATGAGAAATAATGGAATTATATAGACGAAGCCAGAAAGTTGTGTGAGTAGTGCCTTGATATGATTACGAACAGCAGTAAAATTGTGCTCGAAACGTGGTCATCAGTAAATATTACTGTATAACAGCACTGTGTGATTTTATCAAAATAAATTTTATCCATAATGGAGTTATACTCTACCACAGTGCCTAAGGTTTTATTTTAATATCTCCAATCTAATTATTCATTCTTCTGGAAAATTCTAAATAATGATGATGACAGATCAGCTTCCCAATGTGATCTAGATAAATTCACTGAACAGTTTAACCTCTACAGATTGCAGATTAATTCCAGAGAAAAAAACCGCGGTAACGCACCTAGGCCAGAGATCCTAGACGTCGTAATCTGCCTGATGTTAAGGGATGAAATGATTTAGTAATTATTGCAAGCCACAATTAGAAAAAAAACTGCACATAGTAATACTGTTAGATGTACGACATATCAAATTCTGTGGATACTTTGAGGAGGCTTTTTAAACACTTAGATTGGTCTACTTTTTTGAAGTACTTATCTGGAATAGTGTAGCACACAAGCAACTAGTCCACGTTTTAAGAAGAAGGCACAAATGCCAGAAAAAAGAACAAACTGTAGGAGGAACCGAATTAGTCAGTGGTATCTCGCAAGTCCTTTGTGATAAGAGGTCAGAATATTTGAACTTATTATTATTATTATTGAATTGAATTTTTGATTTTCCCGTCGATTGATTGGACCGAAGTGCTCGGTCTCAGGTTGACATGTCGGCTTCTTGTGCAGATGCTTCGACGATGTCTGGGCATTTAGTTAGTATACAATTGGTGGATGGTGGCTAGCAGTGGAATCCAGGATGCGCATTTCGTCTATTTGGGACTCGTCAGCTGGATGTACCTGCATTTCTCAGTGAGTGATGATGTTCCCACCGAGGCTCGAACCCAGTGCCCATAGTTTCAAACGCCAAAGCGTTATCCACTAGACCACTTGGGCCGCGAGAGGTGACTAAATTTCCGCCTACTGTATATAACAGGGCAACTTGGGTGGATACCTTTGTAACTTTTCCTGTCTCCGTCTAAGACAGATGATATCCAGCTATCGATTAAAAGGACGTGTGTACTGCTCAGCTGTAGTTCGCTCCATTCTCCTTTATGGCTAGCTGTGAGAAATGGTCACTGAAAATGGAAGACATGAGAAGGCTAGATATCTGTGATCAAGGGGGTCTGCGTTCTATCTCCCATGTTAAGTAGCATAATAGAATGAGTAGTATTGAAGTTCGGTGTCGAGTCGCAGGTGAGAATATGTCTAACGCATGCCTAACCATCGCCTTTCTACACGGGAAATGTTAACTGACATAGGATGGATCAGGTCTGAATAGATCTCTAGTGGTGGCCAAACCAAAACATGTAACCAGCCAATGAAATCCATAATAGTTAGTTCAAGCCAGTCACGAAGGGAAGTGAAGACTGGCTTTCTGACTGGTTGGGTTCCTCAGAATGGTGGGTAACAAGGAAGGCTGGAGACAATTGGTAATATGACTGGCCTTATTCAAATCTCTCCTTGCATTTCATCTGGTAGAACTAGAAGCAGCTATAGGAGGCTGGCTATATACTAGGACTACCAAGTAGAAAAACTCCACAATACCATATCTGGCACAGATGTTATGCGCGTGATGAGAAATCCGTTAGGTATGACACGATAAACTTACTACGGCACTCTAACAAACAGTTCCCATTAGATTTTGGTTTCCTTTCTTCGTTACTATTACACTGTTGTTCTCATCTTCTACTACACACTAATTTTATATTTCATATCTTGTGGTGCATTGTTTAAAATGTAAACGCAACGCTGTTCTTTTTTTTATTTATTTATTTTTTTGGTTGTCGCTTTTTGATTTTAAAATCTTATAAAATTTATGAGGTAATTAGATGCAATATATTGTAATGCACGCTGAAAATTCCATACCTGTACCACAAATATCGTTTGGAATAAATCTATTATTATTATTATTAACGGTAATACCAATAACAGTAGCGATAAATACTAACAAAAAATGTACCTTTAGGTCCGTTGATCTGCACCGCTTGCACTCGAACAAATTGAGAGAATGTAATATAAATAATAAGCTGGAAACAAGACAGAAAGATAGACGTTAAAAAATGATCATCAATTTATTTGTATATGATCCTTTTCTGAAGACAAAACTATAATTACATTATTATATCGTTCCCTTGAGTTCTAAGTGGAGCATAGGGCTTCACAACATAGGACACCACATCTTCCCTTTCTTCTATTTTCTGCTGTCCTCTTTAGCTGGTTAGCCTAACGATTGCCTATAATCTCTCATCTCTTTCCCGCTCGCTCCCGTCAAATGCAAGATCATGTTACAGGACTGGATTACACCGACTCCTAGATTAGAAGTAGGAAGTGAAATGGTAGAGCACGTTGACCGCTTCACTTATTTGGGAAGTACCATCAGCCCCAGCGGGTTGATGGCTGTAAGACCTGGCCATTGAGAGTGGAAGACATGAAAAGGCTAGCTGTCTTTGATCATAGGTGCGTACCTTCTATCTCCCGTGTGAAGTGGTATAATAAGCTGAGCAATATTGAAGTTAGGCGTCGAGTGCAAGGCGAGGAGAAGGGAAAATCAATCGACGAGGCTGTGAAATTACATCGACTGAGATGGTTAATACATGTGTTTTGTATGCACGCCTAGTCATCGCCTTCCTCAACCGACAGGCAATGTTACCTGACATTGGGTCAGGCTGGAAAAGAGCTAGCGGCGGTCAAAACAAAACATGTCACCAGTCAATGAAATCAACAACAGTTAGTCTAAGCCACCCAGTCACGTAGGTAGGTGTAGACCTCCTGACTGGTTGGGGTCCTGGGGACGGTAAAAACCAATGATGGCTGGAAACAATTGGTGACATGGCTCGATATCGTTCTCAGTGGATGGCGCAGATCCATCCACTCCTTGTGACTTATGATTTCCAATGAAACTATATTGTTCTTCCTTATTACTATTCCTTTGTCTCACACCTCTGTTTACTGTCTCCATTATGCATTTCTTCTACTTTCTTCTCTTGCTTTATGCGCTACAAGGAGGGAGTGTGGCGACTTGAACTGGTGCACATTAGTGCAAAATTGTTCTATGTCGAAAACAGACAGACAGATATCTCTTTCCCATCGTCACTCTCCCAAAGACGAACCACTCGTCATTTCCCAGTCGGATTCCAGTCGAGCGATGGCCTGCATTGAGCACGATGTCATTCAACTGCCTGCTCCATGTATGCCGGATACATCTCCATTGTCTCCTACATATTTGTTGGGCAAATGCCTCTTGATTGGTTTGTTCCCAGCCACAATTTCTTGTTGCTAATTCATTGTGACCGACCAGCTGGTCATTTGATCTTTCCGTATAAAGCGGTTGATAAAAGTCTTCCGTAGCTTTTCATGATGCAGACGCCCCAGAGAAGAATCGACTCACCGAACTAACATGGATGTTGAAAATTCAAATTTTGTTCTTTATCGTGAATGCGGAAGATTTCAAATCGATTTCAAATTTGATGAAGGTGTACACCTTGTTGTGATTGAAACCATGTTTCTTAGATAAGTGAAGGAAGAAACTTTTGTCAAATCCCCCCCCTCTGTTGATGGCAATCGATGCTGGTTGTTGTTGTTGTTCCTGTTGCTGTGCATTAGTTATCTTCATCACCTCTGTTTTCTTTATGTCCAGCTGAAGTTCTGTCTTCCCTAGCCTGCTTCTTTAGCCAGTTTGTTAGTTTTCAGCTGTAAGTCTTCAATTTTGTGTAACATTTAAACATAAATCATCCGCAGCGAAATCCAGATGTCTAGAAGACCTGGATTTTTCAATATTTTCAATGCTTCTTTTTCCAATAATCTTGTATTCATAGCATCTAAAGACATCAAAATTATCGCAGTACCTAAATCATACACTCGTATTAAGGTTAAATTTAGACCTATTGTAATTACTTCTCCAATTTTTTTGAAATTAATGGAGAAATTACTTTTACCCCCAACCTTGAACCTTCCTTGGAAACCTGTGATAATCCCAAACAGTTTGCATATAAACAGGGCAGAAGTGTATTTTAGATGCAGTTGATGCTGCCTTACATCATAACACTGTTTCTTGTTTAGACAAAGGAGGCTAATATGTCCGAAGAACCTTCCAAGACAACAAATCTGCTTTTGACACTGTGCCCAGATGCCTAGCGATCCAGCATGGCTGCAAACAGAGACACATTGGTTCAACCAGAAGCGCCATAACTGAACACCTCATCAATACCTGTCACAGAATCTCAACTGACTCATCATTCAGAGTCATATTTACAAAGTAAACAAAAATCTACCAAAGGCAGTGTGTTTCCGACTTTTTTATACTGCGGAAGCTCTCGTCATATGCATCGAAAAGCCGGAGCTATGTGTTCAAAAGAAATTAGTCCAACCTTTACAACTATCATGGACCTAGTTCGGTATATTCCCTTATCCTTCAGTTTTTTTTCAGTTATTTTAAGGTTGTTTCCATGCTCCTCCTGATCACACTTGTAATCCGTTCAGAATAACCATTTTACAATTATATTCTAATCCTGTGTAATTTTTTTTGTTTCTATACCTCTTGTAATCTATATTCACACCTCTTAACTTACATTTCAAGTTGAAATTTTGATTTCAATTTGTTTCCATGCTCACCTGTGATTTGTTCTATCGCTGAGTCTCTAAGCCTCTTGCAATTCATATCAAGTTGAAAATAATTATCACCTTTTGTTCACCTATAAAATTATTTCTCCAGTTACCAAATATTAATTTTGCATACGTTGTAACTGTTTTCTAATCCTATGCAATCTTGTCTCTCTAAGTCCCTTGTAATCTATATTCCTACCTTCACACTTTCATATCAAGTTGGAAATTATAATCACCTTCGTTACTATGTGTAATTGAACAAATAATAATTGTATCCATGTAAACTAATCTATAGAAATACGATTGTACAGCTGCTTTTGAGAATGAAATCGCCGAAAAGATCACCATCTTTGCTGAACTTCTTGTTCTTTTCAATCTTTTGTTAATATACGCTTTCCCTGACACAAACCGAGAAGTCGTGAGCTGTTAACTGGTTCCATTCTTATTTCTCGAACAGAATGCAGTATACCATATATATAAAGGCAAATTTCTTCTGCCTTGCTTACAGAAGCCGGTGTCCTATCAGTGTACTGTTCTCTCGCCCTCTTTTATACATAAAGAATATTTTGATGCAGTTGTCTCCTTTGAGTCGGATGGTTTATTTGAGCAGCTCTACCAGGCAACATCTTCAGCGCATACTTCAATTTGTTTAAATGAGCTTTTTAGATTTCTCCACGAGTTTATACGTCATCTATCTTGGTGGACGACCCTGACCGTGACTAACTGGTTGTTTCTATGTGTTTTCACACCCTCTAGGCTACTTGTAATGGGGTACTGATTGTTTCCTTGACCTGAAGTTTGACCCTCGTGTGTGAGATTTCCTCCTTATCGATTGGTAAATTTTGTCTATGTCAATGTGTTTACTGATTGACGATACATGAAGAATTTAAATAAATTAATTTCGTACTGAAACCTGAGCTGAAGTGATGCTGTCGTCTAGAAGGGGGACACAATGAAAACTTCGCAATTAAGTCAACTAAGTAGTTCAGAGGACATAACTAAATTTATTAAATAAATAAACATAAAAATAAAAAAATACGCACCTCCTAAGCCGAACTATACCCTCTTTCTGCTGCATGTAATTAGTATCATTTATCATTATTATATTCTTTAATTCCTAGAGGAGCATAGGGCTTCAGCCGCGCGTCTCAATTGCCTTCGGTTTCCTGCCAACTTTTTCACCTCGCTGCAAGTCTGCCATCCACATGCTTTCATCTCCTCTTCACATGACCTCCTCCAAGTCACCCTTGCAATGATGACCAACTCGTCGCTCCCCTTTCGGGTTCCACTCCAGCGATGGCTTGTCTAGTGATGTCACTGACTTGATGGTTTCCTCAGAGTATGGCCAATCAAACTCCATTTCTTCCTGCCTATTTGTTTCACAGTCGGTTCCTGGTGGGTTGATTCGCTCATTGTCAGAGATCCCTGTTGGTGATCTTTTCTGGCCGGCCATCTGATCTTTAGTATTGAGCGAAGACAGCTGTTGATGAAGGTCTGGAGTTTGTTTGAGATGCTCTTTATGACGCGTTAGGTCTCTGATCCCTATAGTAGCACTGACTTTACATTGGAGTTGAAAATCCGGATCTTATTTTCGTTTTGATGCTGAGTGCTGTTGACCTCCACATAGACTTAAGAGTAATGAAAGCTTGTCTTGCTTTTCCGATCCTTGTTTCGATATCCTCACCAGTTCCGTCCGCCTGTAGTTGAAACGATGCTTCCCAGGTAGGTAGGTAGGTAGGTGAAGGAGGTTGTTTCTTTCAGGTTCCTCCCATTTATGCTGATTGTTGTCTGTTGTTGTCGTTGCCGTTGATGTTGGCCAGGAATCTTCATCACCTAACTCTGTTTTCTCTATGTTCACCTGAAGTCCTATCTTTGATGCTTCTTCTGCCACTTGTTGCTTTTCACTTGCATATCTTCCAGTTTGTGGGAAATCAGACATATATCATTGGCGAAGTCCAGATCCTCCAAGTTTTTTGTGTGAGTCCATTTTATGCCTGTTTCCTCATTGTCCGTTGTCTGTCGCATTATCCAATCAATTGGAATCAGGAAGATCATTGGCGATAGTAGACAGCCTCGCTTCACTCCCGTCCTCACTTCGAAGGCTTCCGTAAGTTTCCCGTTGTGGATTACTTGTCATACAGCATTGTCGTCTAACTGTTGGATGAGATGTACAATTGTCGATGGGACCCCGTATTAGCGAACTAGTTACCAAATCACCTCTCGACCGACGCTATCGAAGGCTTTTTCAAAGTCGACGAAGTTGAGATAGAGAGGTGACTGCCATTCTAAGCTTTGTTCAATGATGATCCGTAGAGTGGTGATTTGATCAATACATGACTAGTTTTCCCTGAATCCAGCTTGTCCCGGTCGAAGTTTTTCATCCAGGGTGGCTTGTTTGATTCTCTCCATGATGATGCTGGTCAGTATTTTGCTTGGGATGGACAGGAGCATAATACTGCGCCAGTTCTTCCATTGGCTTAAGTCTCCTTTCTTTGGTAGTTCGAATAAGTTACCTTTCTTCCAATCTTCGGGTACTTTGCCCTCTTTCCACACCTTCTCCAGTAATGTCGTCATCAAGTCCGCTATTGTCTCTGGGTCCATTTTCACTGCTTCTGCTGAGATTCCATCTGGTCCTGCTGCTTTTTCAGCTTTTAGCATCTTGATTGCATTCAGGACTTCTGATTTCGTCGGGGGGAGGGGTGTCGATGTTCACTGATAGTTCTGCTTCCGTTGTTGGTATTGTTTGACGCGTTGTAGATGGCGGTCAATTTAGAAGTCTTTCAAAGTGTTCAGCTCAGTGTTTTCTTTGCTCTACTTCTTTGGTGACTGACTTTCCATTGTTATCTCTAATTATTATATAGTATAACAAACACAGACGCATACATAAACTCATTCCCAAATAAATACTAACCTGTTCATCTGTATCAGAGAGTAAATAGGTCTTCTCATCATCTGGTGAATTGAGTAATTGAGACAATGAATGTGAATCATCTTCATTTAAACATTCACATTGACTTTTTGACAATAGTACATCTAATTCAAGCTGTTTATATGGTAAAAGAAAAACAAGAACAAACAAAAAAAAAGATTTGTTGAGCGAAAATGAAGAGAAACAATATTCAACAATATCCAGAGGGGTTCGAACCTAGGACTTTCCGATTACAAGGCGAGCTTGCAAACCATTCAGTCAATAGAACAGGACCCAATGGCCAGTGTGAATTCAAGTACGAATTTGCAGAAGTTGGAACCTCAGTGGTGGGTGAGTAGTAGTGATTAAGAGTGTCAAACAGGGACGAAATCGTTGTCCTATACTCCAGTTGATCTCCCTATGGTACTCTAACTGATATCAGCTAGCGATCAGTCCCCTGTAGCCAATCAGATCCCTGTAAACCAACACACTTGATCAAAAAAGTAATATCAATAAAAAGTTTAGGCATCGTGGAATAAGCCAAATAATTTATACGTATATTTCAAAAGTTTACACACACACACACACACACACAATGAACGACGGTCAAAATAAAACAGTAAAATAGACGAAGCGGAAATAAACAGTCAAGTACAGCATAGAAAAAAACAGCACACCGCTAACTCACGTAAAAGAGAATAATGACTACTTGTCCATTTTGGATGTGCATATAACCAGCCGACAAGATGGGTCAGTAAAACGATCTGTCTACAGAAAGCCCACACAGACGCAATAATATCTAAATTATCATAGTTTATGTCCTGGCCGATAACTGCTACCTTGTCGTGGTGGTCGGGCTTGAATACCATAATGACCCAACATGCTAAACTGACTGGGACTCTGTCCCTGCAGGTCCTAACATGTCAGGAAGGTTGTTTGGATAGCGGTTAAACTAAAAGCAGTTACCATGGGGTACATGAACTCCAGTATCCAGTCAGATCAAATGGCGTATATATATATATATATATATATCTTTTTTTCTTTTGATCTACGTTGTTTTATTATTATTGTGTGGAGTATCCTTCTTGATGCTATATTGTACGAAGTTTTTATGCGTTTAAATAAATAAATAAATAAAAATAGTTTATGTCCACTATTACACAGTATAAAAAGGCGTTAGTTAAATGTTTGTTCAGATGCGCATTCACACCATATGCACAGTCAACCTTGACCTGCATACAATTTGACCTGTATTATAATAACTCATGCTATCTGGCCTTCTATATAAATGTGTATGACAAGCACGTGTATGATTAGAATATCGAAAATGTGTTATGCAAATACATTACACGTTTCAGATAAACTACATCCAGCCACAAAGCGACCTCGTAGAAGGGTTCGAACCCCACAGTGTTGGTGCGTGCTGCTGAAGAGACCCAAACTACAGGGACGACATAGATTTGTCCAGTACCCCCAGGTTTTTCAGTGATTCTTCCCACTGATGTCAGTTCATGATGAAATCCTGTAAGCAATCAAATCTGCAAACCCTGCAAACCAACAACAGTTGAAGAGTGATATTAGCTGGAGAACCACTGAAAGCCAGCACAGGGGTACTAGAGAGATGTTCCGTCTTATTTTGAGACTTACCGGCAGTACACACTTGACAGATTTCGAACCCGAGACCATCCACATCCGGTTACTAGGTAAGATCGTCGACTGTTTATTTAGTCACTGAGAGCCAACTCAATAGAGAGTTCATGATTTTAGCGTGACTAGCACCAGCCAATGTCATCAGCGCAAGGAATTATCCTCACTCTCAACCTGGTTGACCCCTACTAGTCAAGACTTCTCACAAGAACTCCACCTAACTAACACTAATTCATGTAAGTCAGTCACTAGTGAGCATCGGATTAATTTTCAAGAGTCAGCTTGTCGTAGGAATTTGATCTGCTTCGAGTTTAACCACAGATTGCGTGATTTACTGCTGATGTGTCCCAAACTAGTGGGACAAGAGAGAACTGTTCAGTACTACCTGCTGACTTTCAGTGCTTCTCTAACTGATGTCAATCCATCATAGAAGTTGAAACTAGCATTCTTTTATCGTCACGTCATCAGATATCAACAGCAGTGGAAATGTGAGAACAAGTCGTCGTACGCATATAATTCGTTTTGAAATAAATACGCAAATGACACACACACACAATGACAGAATATGTCTAATCTCAAGGTTGTTTGAAAAATAAATAATACTATTATGGTGTGTGCTACTGACAAAAGTTATCAGTAGTATATAAAGGGACGTTCATCGGCACTCAAAATATCAAATGACAGAGAGGAAAATTTGATATCATGTAGCTAATTGGCTCAAGTGCTCGACTTACACCAGTGAGTCTTTGGTTCGATTCCCGTGCAACATACTTTTGTCAGGGTAATCGGGCGGACACATTACTTCATATATATATGACCATGTATTGATATCAGTTAGAGAACCATTGAAAACCAGCTGTTTCTTCAGTCTAGTTTGGGAATCATCGGCAGTACGCACCCACTGGGATGCGAATCTAGGACCTTACGGTTCTCTAACTGATATCAATCCGTGGTCAAACTCGTAAAAATAAATTTAAATCCTGACAAAGTTTATCTTTGCGAAAGTTGGATGGTTGATTGGTTGGTTTAAATGCCACCCTAATTCCAGTGTCATTCAGAATTCTACGTAAGGCCTCTGACGTTCCTTCTAAGTATACGGCAGTGCTAGAGAGGCTTTGAATTCTATATTATCTTCGTGTTTCTTCGCAATATTTTCATTTCTTTTTCCTTCCAGTTATTAAAAGAAGAATATTATTTCAATTTCTTTTTAGGCTCATCCTGTTTACACCTGTATTCCTTGAAAACTATTTTGTATATTGCGCAACTATTTTCTAATCTTGTATAATTTGCTTTTCTAAGCCCCTTGTAGCGTATACTTACACCTACGAGTTTTCATGTCAAGCTAAGAATTAACCATAACCATCCTCCACTAACACGGATCAATTTTTTGGTTGCCACAATGTGGCATTTTGTGCGTCGGTGGAACAGCGGTTAGGACTCTCGCCGACCATACACATGGTCTGAGGCTCGATCCCCTGCTGACGCACACCTGATATCTATGGTCGGCCTGCGAAATTTGGGCTACCGATATCCATGCTGAAAATTGCATACTTGTACCAAAAATACAGTGTGGAATCAAGCTGTAATCAAAAATAAAAAGAATAAAATAAAAAATAATCGCCTTCTTCGTTATTATATGGAGTTAAATAATAATAATAATAATTGTATCTAAATGAACTTATGTATTTATATGCGATTGTACAGTTGTGCTTTGGGGATGAAATCGCCGAAAAAATCAACACCTTAAATGAACTTCTTGTCCTTTTCTCTCTAATATATCCACAATTGGGCATTTTCCACTAATATATGTGTAAAACTTGGACACTGTGGTAGTAAGTAATTCCATATTAGTTTGTTTATTAGATATATCACACAGTGAGTGAAACAGTATTAGTATTTACTGGATGGCACAGTTTCGAACAAAATTTATTACTGTTCATAATCATATCGATTGTAATCACACGACTTCGAAACTTGAGTTTTATTGTTTTCTTTGTCTTCTCCTGTTTGTCGTCGTTGGGGTAGTAGAATTTTCAGATATCCGCTGGACAGGTGTTGAATCATTCCTAGTACATGTATTCACTCTCAGTTGATTCGATAAACAAAGCTTCTGTTATCAATCTCTCCCTCGCTCCACCCTGTGACATTAGATTTTAAAACTGTCATCCTATCCCATCCAGCCTATTGTATGGTTGTGTGTAATTGCATGTGGTATAGTGCTATAGCTGAACTATTCTCCAGATTTCTTATCTTATTCAGGTCAACCAATCTAGATTTGGCTAGGTTTTTATTTTGGCTAGTCTGACTGCCCCTGTTTTACTAGTTTAACCTTACAATCATTCCAACAGGGTATTAGATAAACTAAATTGTTTTGTTTCAAAGGCTCCACAGAATCCACCATTCAACCAACAAAGCTTGTTTCTAATTGAGTTTTTGGGTGGCTTGAGTGCCAGCCATTTTTATTCCTGCCTTGTTACTAATTCTGCGTAAGCTGGTTTCCGAGGTTCCTTCCTTGTATGAAATTACTACTGATGATTTAGATTCCTTATTGTTGGTGTTGTCTTGCACATACTTGACATGCCTGTCGTCATTGATATTATTATTACTATCATTATCACTACTAAAATCCAGTGTCACAGGGTGGAGCGAGGGAGAGATTGATAACAGAAGCTTTGTTTATCGAATCAACTGAGAGTGAATACGTGTAATAGGAATGATTCAACACCTGTCCAGCCAGATATCTGAAAAATTCTACTACCCCAACGACGACAAACAGGAGAAGACAAAGAAAACAATAAAACTCAAGTTTCGAAGTCGTGTGATTACAATCGATATGATTATGAACAGTAATAAATTTTGTTCGAAACTGTGTCATCCAGTAAATACTAATACTGTTTCACTCACTGTGTGATATATCTAATAAACAAACTAATATGGAAGGGCACTTTCCACGACTTGAAAATTTAATAAGACAAAAGAAAAAGAAAAGATAAAGAATACACCTACTTGTTTGGAAGACTGTGAACTTTTTTGTGAACACCCTCTTGTGAGTGGTCTGGTGCAGCAATAGCCAGCTCTTGAACTTTATCTCTTAACTTTTGAGCAGATGCACCTGTAATACGATCAATTGGTAATGTGCCACGTAGAAATACAAATGTTGGCAATGATCGAACATTGTACTGTTGTGCAATATCCTAAGAAATAATTACAAAATAAAGTTATGGAGGTATAATGAGAAGATGGCTTTGGCATAGTTGTATCCACTGAGCTGGATAGCTTATTTGAGAAGCGCTGCTGAGAATGTTGCGTTGCCCAGAGGTGTAAGGCAATGAAAGCTTCACATCTAAACCATTTATGCAGCTTCGAGAACACGACTACACCAAAATAAGATGAAGTAGAACACAACATTTAAATATACCATTATGTCATCTGAAGTGATGACAACCAGTGGTGTCCGTCAGGAGTGCCCACTGTGCCCATTTCTGTTTAATCTTATCATTGATGTACTAATGGAGTTAACTCTAACTGGCTTCAATGGCATTGAGATTGACTTGTCACGTGGAAACTGTCTTATTGACTTTGAATAGACGCATGATGATCTCCTAGGTGAAGACGCTGGTAAAATTCAGAATCTTCTTAACACCTTGAGGAGCGGGAATCTCCGAATGTTAGACATGTGATCTATTCCTGTCAAATAGAGGGTGATGTTACATGACTGGACTACATCGACTCCTAGCTTGGAGATAGAAAGTGAAGTGGTAGAATGTTTTAACCACTTCACTTATTTGGGAAGTTGCGTTAGTTCCAGCGCGCTGACTGCTAACAAAATCTCAACACGGGTACAGAAGGCTGATTTGGTATTTGCCAACTTACACCGTACCTGGAGTAGACGTGATATCCGACTGGCCATCGATCAAAGGACATGTATACTGCTCATTCGCAGTTCGCTCTGTGCTCCTTTATGGCTAGCTGTGAGAAACGGTCATTGATAAACGAAGACATGAAAAGGCTAAGTATCTGTGATCAAAGGTGTCTGCGTTCTATCTCTCATGTTAGGTAGCATAATAGGATGAGTAGTGTCGAGGTTCGGTGTCGAGTGGTAGGTAAGAATAGGGGTAACGCATGCCTAACCATCGGCTTTGTTCACGGGAAATGTTAGTTGACATAGGATGGATCAGGTTGGAAAAGATCTCTAGTGGTGGCCAAACCAAAACATGTCGTCCGTCAGTAAAATCCATAATAGTTAGTTCAAGACAGTCACGTAGGGAGGTGTAGACTGTCTGTCTACCCGGTTGGGTTCCTCGGGATGGTGAGAATCAATGAAGGCTGGAGACAATTGGTGATATAACCGGCTCGAAGTCATTCTCGATGGCTGGCGAACATGCATTCACTTTGTCATTTGTCACATCCAACTCTATTTGTTCCCTCACACTTTTGTTTACTATATTTCGATGAGTCTCTTTTTACTCTGTACTCTTGCTCTGTATGCTACATGGACGGAGTGTGGCAACTCGAACTGCTGCACATATGTGGAAAGTTTTATGTTGAGACCAGCCAGTCAGCAAGTACTGTAGGGAAACTAACAGGAGTACAAGAAGTAGGTTTTTATACATTTTTATTCTAAAAAAAACGGTATTATCACCATTGTAACACATAATCAGTTTCTCAATACTGATCTTAACTATCCTGCAGACTTAAGTCTTATAAAATGCTTCCTCAGAGTCAAGTGAAATAGCCTCTACGACAGAAGTATTATTTGATATCTTAATGTGTCAGTGAACAATTTCATACAGATGAAAACGAAGAGTATTGAACTGACTGAGTCTTTACTGTAGAACTTTACACAGAGTTAAATCCCGCCTTCAGGTAAAAAAAGCACGGCAATCGTTAGACGCTGATAAGTATGCTTGTGTTCACTAATCTATAGAAGGGTGAATATATATATAAGGTCAATACACCTTCTTCCTGCCTGGTTTTCTCGGGTTTGTGTCTCTCGAGCACCACTTAATCTACACGTGAAACTAAATGTCCTAGCCACCCCCTGATCAATGAAGCTTCACAACCACCACATCAACCGACCTACCTTCCTTACTTAACAATCTACTTTGACGTCAATATCATCTTTGATCATAGGTGCCTGCGTTCTATTTCCCGTGTAAAGTGGTATAATAAGGTGAGCAACATTGAGGTTAGGCGTAGAGTTCTAGGTAAACAGGGGAAATCAATCGACGAAGTCGTGAAGCTACAAAGACTGAGATGGTTAGGACATGTGTTACGTATGCCAAGCCATCGCCTCCCTCGACGAGCAATGTTAGAGGATATAGGGTCAGGTTGGAAAAAAGCTAGCGGCGGTCAAACAAAAACTTGGCATCAGTCAATGAAATCCACAACAGTTGGTCTAAGCCACATAGAAAGGTGTAGACTTCCAGGCTGGGGTCCTCGGGACGGTAAAAATCTATGGTTGGAAACAATTGGTGACATGGCTCAAAATCGTTCTCAGTGGCGCAGATGCATCCACTCCCTGTGACTTATGATCTTCAATGAAACTGTTTTGTATTTCTTTATTACTCCTTTGTCTCACACCTCTGCACACTGTTTCTATTATGCTTTTCTTGTACTTTCTTCTCTTGCTTCGCGTGCTACACGGAATGTGGCGACTTGAACTTCCGCACATTTGTGCAAAGTTCTATGTCGAAAACAGACAGACAGAACATGTTATATTACTTAACGAGAGAAAACGGAACACAAACACCTATGGTCAAATAAAGTCAGTTCCTAGGAGTTTTCGACTTTCACCGACTATATCTCACAGTCAGTATTCGTGGAAACATCAACCAAACCAAGAGAATTAAAAACTTGGATTTGTAAAAAGCAGAAAACAGGTCAGTTGGTGTTGTGACATTGACCTAACCGTCTGAACTAATACCAAGTGGTACCAGCTGATGTTGCATAATAGTGATTGTTTCAAAGAAGTTAAATGGATAAACATTTGACATTTACCTCAAGTTTATCAACATCAATTTTGAGGAATTTCATTTTTGTATACCTAGTACTTAATTCTTTAAAGATGGGTGCTATTTCAGAACAAGGATGACACCATGTAGCATAAAAATCGATAACAACAATAGCTGGACCATTGGCAATATTTGCTGCCTCTTGTAAAATTTGTTCAAGTTGTTCTTTATCAGCAACGTTGATCACAGTAGCCATTGAGGATAAGTGGGTCTGTGAATTAAAATTAAAAATTAAGTATACAAAGATACTTGTGAAAAGCAAACACATTTTAACACTAGACAACGATAATCATGTATGAAATAATGAAATATCTTAAGAAAGCGCTGAAGAGAAGCTATCTTATTTGTCTGATGGGTAAAACAGTAAGATAAGTCAGTATCACTCGACAGATAGCTGCTACCTTGACGTGGTGGTCTGGCTTGCACATCACGATGACCCAACAAGCTACACTGGTTGGAACTACTGTTCCTGCAGATCCTACAATGCCAGGAAGGCTTTTAGGATAGCGATTAAACTAAAAGCAGTTACCGGCATTTTGTATAACAATCTTTCTTACACTATGCTGGGGGTCTCTGGGCAAAGTCGTACTGCTGGGAAACAGGGGTGTAACAGCAATGAGGTGTTTCCCTCAGATGACCAGAATGCCAGCCAGCCAGCTATGCTGTCTTTCCACTCCGGAGAGACGGGGTTACAAAAGGTCGACCCCAAAAATTGTACATACCGACTTACCCTACGGTGGTCCGTAACCAGCGGTAAGTTACTAATACGGAACCAAACCAAGAAACCAGTTCATACAGGCCGTGTGTGACCGGCCTGACTAAAGCGGTTGTCCCCTGGGCTCTGCGTTCACGCAACACTCTTTCCGTTTCAGGTACCCGAAGAATCAATCAACTTCCACAGTGTGGGCAGCCGGGAAGTAACAACCACCCAAACACTTCCGAAAGCACATAAAGCCTTCCTGAGCATCATTCTCGTTTTAAATCAGTATCAACAGGGATGAAAGGACAATTGCATGAACTAAACATCTCTTAAGCATCTAATACACACATAACTACTATGAATGAAGATCAACGGTTCACTTTTAGCACTAACAAGACCACAAAACTTCGTATAAGTGTACCGTAGCTTATGAGCATTGTAAAAATTCGGGTCACCAAAAGCAAACTAGCACCATATATTACAAGACATAGTTAGTTACCTGCAACATAAAGTGGATTTGAAAAGACGGCTTGATTTATCTGTATTTCAACTTGAATCGATAGCACACTATCAAAAACTTTAGGAATGTGGTATCATTCGACAGAAATGTTAGTGTCTGACAAACAGACTAATTCCCTTTAAGGTCTTCTTAGTAAACTTAAACGTTTCGGATTAGACCAACGCTTATGTGAGTAATTTAGTAACTACCTGATGGATAGGAGACAGAAGGTAAGGGTGTACTGGTGTACTGTCAGGGTGGAAAGCAGTACTAAGTGGAGTACCTCAGAGAACTGTATTTGGCCCGTTATTCCTATTATACGTAAATGAAGTGTCGAAAATTTTCACCTTATCTTCCTCACTACTTGATGACGATATTAAGATATGGAAAACCGTAAATAGCAACAATGATAGGTTGGTACTACAAAAAGATCTAGAGTCTGGAAATCAATTCCAAGAAAAGCGCGGTAATGCACCTAGGTCAGAAGTCTTACACGTCGTACTTCATAGGGGACACAGAACTGCCAGATGTTAGGGGATAAAGGACTTAGGAAATAAAGACAACGGCAAATTGTAATCGAGCCGCAGCTGAGGCTTTTCGAATGCTATGGGCACTTCGAAGGGATTTCAAACGATTAGACGAGGATATGTTCCAAGTACTCTATGCAACATATGTCACGCCTCATCTAGAGTACTGCATACAAGCGGTGAGTCCATGCTTCAGAAAGGAGGCAGATACTCTGGAAAGAGTACAGAGGATAAGAATGAAATTATGATATGAGGATGGAACATTTAAATCTCTTCCCACTATCATACCGAAGGAGGAGTGATTTAATTTTGGCATACCGTATATTAAAGCGGGATTTAGCAATTGACCTTTCACATATTTTCTCTCTCCCTCTAGGATACATTTACGAAGTCACCACAAGGTGTTCAAACCAAGGTTTAATAAAATACGTGTGGAGTTTAGATTCTCTCACAGAGTGGTCAACGACTGGAACTCCTTACCTGATTCAGTAGTAACAGCTCCATCGGTGAACGCTTTCAAAGAGAAACTGGACCTCTGCAGAGATATATATCGCAAGGATTACCATAGGCAACAAGAGCTTTCTATCCTTATAATCTGAATCTGGATTAGCAATGAAGATTATTCATGAACTCTTCTACTTAATTAGGCGAATTACTCAGAGCATATTAGAAAGATTAAACGAAAAGTGATTTATTCCATATTGGTTTGTTTAATAGATGTATCACAATGAAACAGTATTATTTACTGGATGACACAGTTTCGAACAAAATTTATTACTGTTCATAATCATATTAATTGTGATAACACGACTTTGAAACTTGAGTTCTATAGTTTTCTTTGTCTTCTATTTGTCGTAGGGGTAGTAGAATTTTCCATATATCTGGGACAGGTGTTGAATCATTTCTATTACATGTAATTGCAGTTGATTCGATAAACAATGCTTCTGTTATCAATCTCTCCCTCTATTCACCCTGTAACATTAGATTTTAAAACTGTCATCCTATCCCATCCAGCCTATTGTATGGTTGTGTGTAACTGCATGTAGTGCTATAGCTGAACTATTCTCTAGATTTCTTATCTTATTTGGATCAACCAATCTAGATTTGGCTAGGTTTTTATGTTTGGCTAGTCTGACTAACTGCCCCTGTTCTACTAGTTTGACTTATGTATTCGACCTGACAATCATTGTAGGCAGGGTATTAGATAAACTAAATTGCTTTATTTTAAATGCTCCACAGGATTGATCCCTTAACCGACAAAGCTTGTTTCTAATTGAGTTTGTGGTTGATTTGAATACCAGCCACTTTTATTCTTGCCTTGTTAAGAATTCTGCGTAAGGCTTCCAAGGTTCCTTCCTTGTATGGAATTACTACTGATGATTTAGATTCCTTATTGTTGGTGTCGTCATTAATATTAAAATTATTATTATTATCACTATCGCTATTATTATTATCGCTATCATTATTTATTTTACTTTTACATTTACTTACATATTTCTTGACTAATTTATCCGGGTAATTATTAAGTTTCAAGGCTTCTTTTATGTGTATCACTTCCTGTCTTAGATTTTCCTTGGTACTACTTAGTTTTTGTGCTCTGTCATTTAAACATATTCTTAAAAAACAGTTGTGACAGCCTGTGTGTTGACGAAGGAGTAAAACTTCGGATACAAAAGTTAACATAAGTTTAAGTGATAGGCGTCTAATTTGAACAAGCTTCAGCTAAAACTAACTAGCTGCAATTTTATCGTTTATGAAGGCACGTTATAAAGAGTTCTAGGCTTTATACTGATTGAAATTCCATCATAATAATTACTGTTGCTAGATTGTAGTTGACTTCTTGCTTTGATCTCGATTTTTGTACACCATTTTAGCGGTAAATAAATCAATTTAAACTCATCTCACTCCCTTTCCTTTGTCGATTAAATACACTACCTAAGTTGGTATGGCCAATGATAATAATTTTACACAATTTTTAAATGTATAATACGTAGCACCGTTCCAATTAAATTCTATCTGTACCTCAAACTAAATTATAACCATATTTCAGTAGTTTATACACATTGATAAATTTTTGTTTTTGGGGCGACAGTAAAGAATAGACACCAACTTCAGATGATCTTGAAACAGCCAATCGGATTCTTCTACGTGAAAAGTGGTACTTAATTTACAAAGAAGTGTACCTACGATATATGTAATAAAAATGAATCATATAGGCCATATATTTCTGATATGCTGCAAAAATTGGTCTCACAGAAGTGGTTATAGACACATCAAATCAATACGTTCTCTATTTCTCCAGCTGTAGCAGATACTGGTTGCATATACGCGATATATTACTATGGGAGAACTTTGATTTCGAGAAGAAAGTGTTTTAGAAAATCACCAATTATGTACGACTTGCAAACTTATACAAACTTCCTTATATAAAGTGGCTGCATCTGAATGTATAACCATCAATGGCCCAGCAATACCTTTGCAGAGTCATTATCCCCCCTCCACATCTGCATGTTTTATGCCACCTTATAAACACATTTTCCATAGAGAAGTCAAAAACCAAATCTAGGAGACTTTTCAACGAGGATTTTGATTAGCAACCATTGGTAATGTCGAGCTATTTGGTTGGTCAAATCAATGTCATTTCACTTTGGTGTCTATTGTTTACTCTTGCCATTTTTGGTGATATTTCGAGCACCTCAAAGTGTCATATCAACTATCATCCACTTCTTAATCTGCCTAATCTGTCATTTAAGGTACATTTTATGCACAACAAACTTTAAGCAAACACCAATATGATTTCAAAGAAAACTATCTAGTACGTAACAAGCTTTTTACTAATACTTAGCACAACAAGAAACCAACGAACTCAAATGAAATTATCAAAAGAGACTGGAGTTTTACTTACTGCTTTTTAGAAGGGCATTCTAGAAAATTCCCAGTCAAGCTACTTGACCTAATGCACACAATGTTAACTGTCCGTTGACCTGAGTTCAAACGGTAGTCTACCAGATTTTAGAAAACCCTAGTAACTAATTAAAGTATAAATCGACATAAGTTCCAAACGAAAGCAATAACTACAACAACCACCGTATTGGATAGATGCACAAGTTTCTTTACCATGACAAAATAATACGCATTTGAACAATATATTCACAATCATTTGCTAAGCACAAGTGTATTTTCAGTATATTCACTATTCAGATACGCCAAGTGATTTTAATGCATCATCTTGTCTAACAACAGGCCGGATTGTTACTTTTTGTGTTTTTCGGATATGAAAATCCTGTAGTACTGTGGATTAAGGAAACAAAAACGACTGGATCGAAGACAGCTTCGTTCATATCGACACGTTTTAGCAGATAGAACAAACGCATACAAATCTAATCTTTACAAATCAACTATAGAAGAGTAAACACAACAACAATTTGACATTAGTCATTACAAATATATGTGAGGACAGCTTACATACTTCTATTGGTAAAAAATGTTCATGGAGAAATGACCTTCAAATAAACTGACTTCATTTTATGTAAAAAAAAAATTTTTTGACTACAATTTTTGATGATTAATTATAATCCGAATAAATCTGCTGAAGAAGCTGTGGCTTACACGGCGAAACGTTCAGAAAAATCTTGTTTTGATTTTCTTAACACGCTGGGATTAATTTAAATAATTTATAAAGAACAAACAACTGTTCATTGAAACACACGTTGGAAACAAATTCCTACAGATAACTGAATAAGTATAAGTTTTGTGGGCCATTTCAGCTTTGTCTTTAATGGGAAGAATTAAAATTCCAATATAAGAACTGATTTCACATCATGCATGATGTGAAGTTAGGGTGCGTGATCGCTCTTTAGGACGACGAATATTAACAAATG